ATATATTTCACACATTGAGCAAATAAAAACTTTAAAGAAAATATTTGTCTGCTATGATTTTAATCTCTTCCCATCATATCAAAATTCGGACAGTCAATGAGGATTGGACAATTTTTCAGGTAATTCTGGAGTTATATGTTTCTATTTTCTGGTTCTGCAGAATCTGAAACCATTTGTATTCTCGATGAACATTCCAAAGAGATGCCAAGGAGTTTCAACAATCAGCCCGTCGCCAGATCACATGATGTTGGCAGTGGGAACTGTGATTGGTCAGTGATATGTACTCATAGTTTCTTCAAAGTGAAAATCTCCTTAATACTAGTCTCGTCTTTATCTTAGATAAAGTTTTTGCCTTTTCTGTTACAATGTAGAGAAATTCGATGAGCAGTCTGTATACATATGTAAAGTTCTAGTCCACAAGGTGTTGCCACCACAATGAATAGAATAAACATCTTGTAATTAGCTTTCCTCTTTATTTGGAAAATGCAGACTTTTCGATCCATGTACGTACGTCATGGGCCTTACGTCCAGTACAAGGGCTGTTACCGGTGTATTTTGCTTGCTAAGTTTTCGTTGAAGAAGATATTTAAATTTCTAATGTTATGTACAGGGGACGTGATTGTGTACAACACACAAGTGGAACCCTTTGCACCATTGAGAGTGGCCATCGCTGGTGTGAACAAGGGCCAGGTCATGCACATAGCCTGGTCAGTGGACTCATCTCGACTGCTGGCTATAAGGAGACAGGTGTGAATGTTTGAATTTGACACCTTCAAAAATTAGAACAAAGCTTGCAAATCTTGTGAAATGGAAGAAAAAAAAGCACAGGCACCATGACAATAGCAAAATTTTGATTGACTTTAATATAGATTTTCATATTTGAATTCATTATACAGTGGCGTCCAAAAGAAGTTTGAAAATGTATTCACCCAATCATTGCGTTAAAGCCATGCACTACCCACTCATGCAGCATACCAATTTAAAGCTCCTAAATTCTGCATCATCTGAAAGATTAATTCTTTATCTATGACCGAAGTCCTCTGAAATATTGTCACTCAGAACTGACCTTAAAAAATCATGCTCGGAAAAATTGTGTGAAATGAAAGAAACATAAAAGTATATTGTATATTACCTTTAAATATTTATATTATAATTTTCGTCAATATTTGAGTTACATCTTTATTCTCCCTACAACTGAGCAGGATAAAGATACAAAATATTCAGATATCTTACAAAGTTTGCCACAAATATGTGTAATGGTCAGGTTCACTAACTTTCGTTTTTCTGTCTTACTATCACAGTAAAACACACTTCAGCAATTTTGTTTTTGTTTTTAGAGTATATGGTTCGCATGTAATTAGGTCTGCTTTTCTACACTTTCAGTCTTCTTAAAATTCCACTTCTTTCACTTAATTTCTTCAAATCAGGGTTTGTTTTGAAATGTTCATCAATAGGGTTTTTTTATAGGCCCTCACGTATGACCTATTCCTTCAATCAATTACTCTTGAATACCCCTGTCGTGTCTCTCTGTTTCTGACAAATTTCTGCCATTATGTACCATGAATACTTTTACTTTTTACTTCTCCTGGTACCGGTGGATGCTATGGGGAAAATCATTCATTCCTTAACAGAGCCAATGCAGTCACTTATTGGTCTCCCCCTCTCTTTCTCCAGCCAGTATATTGCTGTTCATTTATATGATGTGACTGTATATGATGTGACTGTATATGATGTGACTGTAAGCCTTCGTGAGTATGTGTGTGTGTGTGTGTGTGTGTGTGTGTGTGTGTGTGTGTGTGTGTGTGTGTGTGTGTGTGTGTGTGTGTGGGTGTATTTATGTGTGTACGTGGTGAAACACCAAACGAATGTGCCAGGATCTGGAGAATAAAGATGTATCTCATCTTATCTTGTCTTATAATGCTGGTTGGTTTCGGAGCATTCCTGAGAGGTGGCGGAACCATTTACTCTCTGTTGTTCAATAACTATGTGAATTCAAAGCCTAAAACAGCAGCTCAGCAATGTCATGGCAACAAATATCAACAAATAAAATGATTTTGAGGTGGTTGATGTGTAGGCCTATAGATTTTGGGTCAAAATTATAGTAGTGACCCTTTTGTAATTTTCCTACTCTTTTCTCTCTGCACTGTTATTGTTCCTTTCCCGCCTTTGGCCTCAAGCCGTCTAGTCTACTGTAATGTTTTAGAAGAATAGGTTGTTTTCATATTATGTTTGTCATTTTGACTAAGGAAAAGGACGCTCGCTCAGTACACGTGTGGGAGACTAGCGGTTCGCCAGCCAACAATGATGTCCTTCAGTCTTTTGGCTTCAGCACGGCTGACAACAAAGACCAGCCATTTTCCCTCTCGCCGGTACATGTCTGGGATACAAAGGCTGGCGACTTCACTCTGACTGAAGGTAAGGAACTGGTGACGTCTCTACTGAGAACAAATTGTTTGATTGTTATTTGTTACAAAGCTTAGGAAAGCAATGATGATTATGGGGATTACATATAGTGATGTAGTAACAGCCAGTCTTGCCCATACACTAATATCTCCGTTTCCAATGTCATGACATTTCTGTAAAAAAAGAAAGGAGAATATTCTATGAAAGTGTAGACAGTATGTGATGTGATAGACCGTCTTAAGTTATTATTATGTTTTCTGGTTGTAAATTGTAGTCTGTGGTACAGAAAGCTTATGGGTGTGTCCAAATAATACATGATGGTGGGTATACAAAGTGCTGTTTGCTAATTAGCCCAGAGATGTCCTTTTTCACCAGGTATGAAATTATTTCATTTTTCCATTATTTTTAAATTATTAATTAAGAAAAGAAATAGAGATACTCAATTTTTATTGTTCATGGCAAACATTAAGTTCAACAATGTTTTTCACTTTTCACCAGTTAGAAGTTTCAATATTATTTTGACTGATCAGTATAAGACTATACGTTGCTTTCCAAAGTGTCACATGGCAGAGCGTACACTAAGCAGGTAATTTGGTTTGTCTGAAGTGTCAATACTATATCAAAGGTTTCACTAGAGTTTGCTTTGTGGAAAGTTTCAATATCCGTTGCCTGAACATTTTTTCCACTTACATATCACCAGGGTCTTTGGCGGAGCAAGGCAGTACCAAGACAGCCCACTTACCATTGGTAGCTGGCTTTTTCCCCTCCCTGACATTTCTCACAACACAGGTCTGTTGTTCCTCTAGACTTGGTGGCGCAAAGCCCTTTGTCTGTTCTGAACTCGAGAGTTATTCAAATTTGTGTGATTGCAGGGAAATCAGGTGCTCAATATTTTTCAGCTAAATAGTTTGGGTTTTTTTTCGGCTCAACAACTTTTATATCCATTTAAAAACATATTACTGTGTGGATGAAAGAAAAAATATTGATTGAAGGCTCCAAAAATGTAGCTCTGCAGTTGTCAAGGTCACTGAATATTTGGAAGTCATCGAACTTTGGCAGCCATTTTCTCAATAGTTTTACCTCTGACACCAGTCGAACACCATCTCCTTTAACAGCAAATATCTCAACTTCTGTTCAAGATAGATAGATGTTTTTTCATCAAAAGCAAGAAAAATGAACTTATTTTAACTCCTTATCTCCGACAAGCCACTCCCAGTGGCTCGCAGTTGGAATCGCTGTGCTGGTGAGAAGCTGGCAGCGGCTTGGGCACATTCCTTTAAGACGACTTCGATATCAAATTACTTTTCGGCAATTGCCGAATACGTGTCTCTTTTACCATAAGTTCTTTCATTAGATAAAGAACTATCATAATAGGTTCACTTGTTTTGATTTAGTGACCCATTCAATGACATTATTGTCATTTTTAGATGTAGTACCAAAAAAGGGCCCCGGCTGAGTGGGTTTACCCCCCTCGGAAATAAAGAGTTACGGTGTTACCAATAACTCCATATATGTCCAAAAATTAATGAGGGCCTGAATCCACCATGTCATGACACAAACAGTCTTTTATTTGTGCGTGATGAATTCCGAGTATAGTTTAGTATTGTTTTTAATTTTTTGAAAGCATAAATTGTGCTCAGTGTTTTATTGAGTCAATTGCCTTTGTCAAGGTTACTTTTCACTTTATTTTCAGGGCACTGAAATTCTCATAGCATACTTTTTTTATTTATTGCATAGGAAAAAGTTTGGATAACAATGACAGGTAAAATATTTACATGATACAGATAATTATAAGGTTGTATCAATGTCTCACTATACACAATATTACACAAATACAGGCAGTTTTACAATTATACCGCTACTGGTGCCAGATGTGCAGTGCTCTGTTTTGAGCCAGAGTTTTTGTGTTTTGCTCAAGGAAAACACTGTGTGACTGACATGTGCTGACATTATTTGTTTGACTGACCTCATTACAACCATTCTGTAGTTGAGGTCATCACCTCTCTCCAACACTCCTCCCCTCCCCTCCACCTCTCACCCCCAAGCATCCACCCTCCTCACTCCACCTCTCACCCCCAAGAATCCAACCCCCACCTCCACCTTTCACCCCCAAGAATCCAACCCCCCCTCCACCTCT